TTTTTCCTAGAAGAATTGTGAGATTTAAAGCAATACTTATACCCTTTCCTTGCTTCCCTTGTGCAGTTCTTCAGCTCATTTTCTCTCTCACTATGTATGCATTTTCACATCAGATAAACATGAAGAAATCATAGAATCGTAGAATGGCATAGACTGGAAGGGACCTTAGAGATCATGTAGTCCAACCTCCCTGTCATGGGCAGGGACGCCTCTCAACTAGATCAGGTTACTCAAGGCTCCGTCCACCTTGGCCTTGAACACCTCCAGGGAGGGGGCAGCCACAACATCTCTGGGCAATTTATTCCAAAGTCTTGCCACCCTCGTACTGAAGAATTTCTTCCTAAGGTCCAATCTAAATCTATTCTCCTTCAACTTAAACCCATTTCCCCAGTGGACACTCTTGTAAAGAGTCCCTCTCCAGCCTTCCTGTAGGTTCCCTTCAGGTATTGGAAGGCAGCTATTAGGTCCCCCCAAAGTTTTCTCTTTTCCAGACTGAACAATCCCAGCTCCCTCAGCCTGTCCTCGTAGCAGAGGTGCTCCAGCCCCTGGATCACCCTTGTGGCCCTCCTCTGAACATGCTCCAACAGATCCACATCCCTCTTATGGTGAAATGTTAGTCCTTGTTAAAAATTAACATTAAAATTTTTTTTAAGAAGTTAGGTAGTGATTTAAACAGAAAAATATGGAACTTTGAGGTGTTTTGAAGTTCTCTTTTTAGAGTATATCATCAAGTTCATGATTGCTTTTAACATTTTAAAGTTCAGCAAGCCAAAAATCTGTGACACAGCCTTGCAAGGTGCCACTAGATGGTGTCAGTATTGTATCTAGTTCAGTTTTTCCTTACTCAGGCACTGAAAACTCAAACTGCTTCATGTTTGCATTACTTGCAAATGCCTTTTAAATTTTCAGGTATCATAAAGTAGGTTTCTTAGGGCAGATCATAAAACTTACCCTTTGGTGACTGTGATTTGTGATTAGAGATGCTAAAAATGACAGGAGAAAGTCATTCAGTCTAGACATTTTGCTCCCTGTTTTCACCTTACTTCTTTGTTTAGGTGTGACGTATTTAGATTCTGGGCATGAAGAGTGGTTGTCTGTTATATTATTGAAACAATTATGTGTTTTATAAGGTTTTACCATTTTCTTGTGAAATTAAGTAGATTAAAAAAAACCCTTAACATCTTGAAACCCTGTACATGGTAATAATGTAAAATGTATTTTGTATTCTTTATGTGAAATCAAAGCATCTTAAACAGGGGTGCATAAGAAATCAGTATTATTCCTGTCTTAATTCTGAGATGTCCCCTCACTCTAGCTATAGTAAGAAAGGAGAGTGGATTCTTTGGGGACAAATAATAAAGGCTGTCAGTGTTACAATAACTGTAGGTGCTGCAGAGGCGTAGTTCTGGGTGGCTGTAGAACCCTGTAAGTAGAGAAAGCCAGTATCTGAACCGTATTGAGGGTCAGCTCTGCACTGAGTGTCAGAGGCTTAAAGACAGACCCTGAAGCCAGCCTAAGCTGAGGAGGTTTCTTCATGTCTAGTAGTTTTAATTCTTTGGGTGGGAAGATGGTGGTTTTCTTTTCAAAGCTGTTGTAGGTAAACATTCTTTTATTCTCACTGAGCAATATAGCTGATGGTGATTGATCTGAAAAGCCACGTATACCTTTGGGACATACACCCTCCCCTTCAGGGTGGGGTCATAAATGCCATGTCTGCCACTCAGTAGGTTATAGGGTTTTCGAGAGTCAGATGATAAGGATTACCTGTTAGGCAAATAATGTCAGTTGCCCAGTTTTGGAGAGACATGTCAATAGGAAGAGTATAAACTGATACAATAAGTAATGAAGTACTGACTAGAAGGGTGGAGGTAGGTAACTATGAGCACCTCTTTTTTAGGAATTCTTGAGTCGCTTGTCCAGTACTGTTTTAGATGTCTGAATGTGGTTTCTCAGCTTTGTGCTTTATGAGAGAATTTTCTGTGGTTGGCTGAATCACTTTACAAATACAGTTAAGAGTTGAGCAAGAAACATTGTTCTACTGTTGACATTCAGTTTTGTTCTTTCTGAGTCTGTACATATATTTTCTAGGTGCTCAGGGGTGTTTTGCATGCTGAAAAAAAGGAGCTTCTATTAACTTGGCTTCCGACAATTCCATGTTTAAGAATTTCAGTGACGAACTTTTAGACTGGAAAAATTCAGCACGAAGTTTCTAATCGGAAGATTGCAGAGTTATGCTGTACCTAATTGAGTGCTTTGAAATCACTCTTATGTTTAAAAAAGGAAATCTTAACTGAAATGTATCTTGTATCCATAAAAATGGGAGTTGACCCTATGTTGAAAGAGGGGCAAGGAGTTCGTAGAATTTTTTTCTGAGAAAAATAGTCTCACATTGGAATGACCTCATCTTGCATGAAAAATAAAGGTGCAAATGATGTTGCAGTCTTTAGTACTTTAGTTGGTGTAGTTTTTCAAAAATCATGCTGTCTTTATTGGATTTCTAGCCTGTCTTTATATTGAAGATTCTTCTTAGGGATGTGATTGATTAGGGATATTTCCTGTGGGCTCTGGCAAAATAATGCTCTTCTGAGCCTGTACTTCCAGTCCTTTTCAGCAGAGCTTGAGTGCTTGTGCAGCAGATGTTTAATCTAGGTGTGAAGGGAGCTGAAACAAACTTTTACAGATACCTAACTGTTGAGCGCTTATTAAATACTGAAATTGTGCCTGAATAGCAGTTCCAAGTTGTCTCCCTTTCATGAGGAGGAAAGAGACATTTAGTTCCCATGTGAGGGATCCCTCCATGATTCATTGGTACGCGCTTCCATCACAACACTGAGAATTTTAGTGTGCCACAGTCAAAAAGTTAAGTAGAAGCAGAATGCTGTTACCCTGGAAGGAAAGGCTGGATCCCTGGAAGAGGTTACTGAATGCAGAAGTAGGATTGGGCATTTCAGACACTGAAGAGCCACTGCAGTGTCTTTGCTCTTTTGGAAGAGTAATGTGACCTTCCTAGAATAAAAGCCCTACCTTATTCTCAGGTAAACATGAAATATGCTTCAGCAGTCCATGCGTTCCATGTACTTGTTTTCAGTAGTACCCTTGTATTTTTTTACAGCTATACTTTTAAAGTTCTCCCTTTAATTTTCCCTGTATAAATCCTTAGCATTGTAGTTAACGTTCTTGTTCTCTTTTTTTTTTTTAAAATCCCTATCTCTTGTATAATTGACTGCTGTAGTTACTTTTAAAAAAAAAATCACAAGAAGTTCTCAGTTTCCTAAATCTTGCATAATACGGTGCTGTTGACTTAAGTATTTGAAATATGTCTTAAAATTGTGATAGATACTGCCTCAGTTTAAAAAAACCTATTTTTTTAATTTTAAGCATTGTGCTTTACAAAACTCTTTTATAGCGTGCATATGTGTGTTCCTGTTGGGGAAGGCAAATTCATTCCAAGGTTCAGAAGATAATTATACTTTTCTGCTGAAAAGTCATTAATGATACCTGAGAGAAGGTGAATGTAGGAGGAGTATTTGAGGTGGGAGGTTTGTTTTGTGATTTTGTGAACATCCCGTATAACAGAATTACAGAACGTGACTGAAATATCCTTAGTCTTAACATTCCTAAACTTACATTGCTGAACTGCAGTCATACTCCTCAGTTTTTACTAATTTTTTGGAAGTTGGGGAGAATTGTCTTCTTAAGTTGTGGAAGACTTAGCCTGACTGACTAGATTTTTGAGTGATTTTATCCAAGTTGCACACAAACATTTACGCGTACTGCATGTTGATAGTGTAAGGATGATGGGTATTCTCCTAGTTTTGTTTGTTTTTATTTTTTTCCTGCTGGCATCAAAGTAAATCACAGTTCAGAGGACCAAAATTAGAAGCTGGCTTCACAAGCGCTTCCAGTGGTGAGGGGCACCTTATGGATGCGATTCAGCACGTATCAGTTAGACATTTAAACATACAAGGCTGAGAGTTCCCAAAGATGCTCGAGTGCAAAGGTGTATCTTAAGAAGGGAAAGCTCGGTGTGCCTCGCCATTATGTATGTGTTGTTTTGTTTAAGCTTAAGGACTTGTGTTAAGTTATGGAAATGAATATGCAACACAGGCACTGAAGGCTGATAAAATTTAGGGACATTGTTTGTCCATGGCACTTGAAGTAAATTAATGTGCGCAGAAAGTATGTTTTGTTCCGAACCATCTCAGTCTGTTTTTGCGTTTGTTTGGTGTTTGGAGTTTTTCGAAGCAGAGGTTGTCGTCTTTTGTTTGGAAGATACATACTGTCTGGTAACACAGTATTCGTAAATCTTAAGAAGCAAATGCTTGAAAAATAAAAACTTGGTGTCACTGCAGTAAATCATGATTTAAAATTCATCGTTTTTGAATGTTCTTAGTGCAATGTTCTTGTAAGAACATAATCCCTGTTTGCATCCAAGTCTGTTGTGGCCTGTTTGCCGAAGGGTCGACTAGAATTTTTAGTGGGGAAGAGAGATACTGGAATGGCAATTTGAGAAATCTGTTGCTAAGTGGAGCTAATATTCTATTGAACAGAGCAGTTCTTAGTGCTGTTTTCCAGGTTAGTGAGTGAAAGGGCATGTGAAATTGATTTCTCTTTGTATGTCCCTCTGCACCAGTTCTTTAGAAATTACAGGGCATCAGGGAGCATGGTAAATGAGCTACATGATTAAATTTTTAAATCTTACAACAGCTTTGTCCAAAATGAAAATCCCAAAATTTCAAATGATTTCTTTGTTATAGGTTTTCATTAAAATATTGCTTGATTTACATTTGTAAGATTAATGAAAAATGTACTTTTGGGTTGACATTTCATAAAACAAAATTACAGAATGTGTTACCCACAACAGTGTACTTATCGTGGCATTATTACTTTTATTAAATCATTAATCATTTTAATGTTGTGTATTGTGACTCTTTAGGTTTTCTATCTTCAAAGAAAATGTAACAAAACAAATTCACCATTCATTTTTTTCTTTCCTACAGCATTATCTGCATACCAGAGGTACTACAGTTTACAATCTGACTACTGGAAGGTCTGTATATGCTGCTTACTTCTTACTTTTTATAAAATGCATTGTTGTAAATAATTGAATTTCTAAAATAGATTAATTTCAATCTGGGTTTCGAGTATCTATGTGCAGTTAACTTTTTGGCTTATTAATTGGGTTTTGAGGGAAATGTTCACCTATATATACAATTTGTTATAAGTCTAGCTGGAAGTCAATCTTGAAATGGAAGATCAATTAACTTGACACATTTGACATTTTTTTAAGTTATTGTTATCCATTCAGTTTTGTTATCCATTCAGTTTAGGGCTGTCACGCATAGACATTTGGATACGTATGATTATTGAGAGAATCATAACCACTTTGAAAGCTGCTGCGCAGGCATTGGACTTGTACTAGGAAAAATGTTCTCTGGTTGCTTTTTACTTCCAGACATGCTAAATTGTGGAAATGCCTTTCAGTATTTTAGATAATGTACTTATATGAGACAGGAAAAAATTTTGTTAGTATAGCCGTCTTATCTGTAAGGACATGGAGAGGTATCAGGACTTTCAGTGAATAAAATTAAAAATTTCTTAGAGTGATGCTGTCAAAACTAGCACTGCTACACTGTCACATGAAGTGATTGGAAGCTCATGATGGAGGCAGAGGTGCAGGAAAGGCTGTAGCACAGTAGATGTTTGGGTGGTCTTAAGTGGCCGTTTTCCTTAAAAGTGTGCGTAAGCGCAGATTTCAAAGGCATTTATACCACATATATGCTGGCGTTGGAGAAATAACATTTTCTGTGTTCTCAGCATTTCATGGCGACGATAAATACTTGCGGAAAAATCCTGTGACAACTTCTCTTGACTGGGGGGTGGTGGAAAGGGAGAAGGGCAGTTAAATAAAAAGAGTGAACCAAAATAAATGTCCTCTGACATGTGGCAGGAGAGGTCCAGTCAGAGATCCTAGGAAATTTGTTCATACTGTCTTGTAAAGCCCCTGCTCTGGTAGAAGCCGAAGTGCCATTTCTGCACGAGGCCATTTTGGAATTGGAAGGTGTTGTTTTTGGAAATAATTGCCATACTTTAAAATTACAGCAATAATAGCATTCATCTCTTCTTACGTGCTCTTGATGAGTTAAAGATTGCTGTAACAGTGTTGAAATCAATCAATTAATTAAACATCTATTGTAATAGTTTCTGTTGTTTGTACTCTTCCCATGTCAAGCATTCCAGAATAGTTTGTGACCTGAATTATTTTTTTCTGACTTTTGTTTTAATGGCTCATTATTAGAAGAAATGAGAAATACTTAGTAAATGATTTTCCCTGCATAGAGAGTTTATAGTGAAATGTAAATGATTATACATATCTCCATACATAGAGTATTTCAATATAGCTCAGAATATTATCTGCAGTTAAAATAAATGCAAACTCTGTTTTGTCGTTCCATTTAAAGAGCCTGGATGGCAGTAAAATGTGTGATCTGTGCTTGATCTTATTGTTTGTGTGCAATGTGCTGATATTCTAACATGCCTGTTTCTCTCAGGAGTTTTACCATGTAGAGATTATTCCAAACAATTCTAGTTGGAAGCATGAGAGTATTGTTTGGAGCTGACGAGAGAGCATTTTGACTTGTACAAAGAAAAGAAACCACAAAAGCCCAGTAATTTTTCTTCAGGTTGGCCTCAGCTGGGAAGGTTACTCTGCTACTTGATGTCATTGTGAGGTTCCTTATAAACGTGTACTCCAAAATATTTTTATTTCCACAGTAGTTTTGGAGATTTTTCTTAATTTTTATATACAGGAAAAAGGACTGAGAGGGTCCAAAACCATTTTTCATTTTTGCTGAAACTGATTAAAAAAAAAAAAATCACAGTGAATCATATTTCATCTTATTAAGGGACGATGAAGCTAGTCTGGACTTGGCCATGGGAAGTTGCCTACGTTGGGTCTAGAGAAAGATTTTACCATCTCCCTCTGGCCCCTAACAGGGAAGATTTCTTGTTATCTTTAATGCCTTGTAGCTGTAAGAAACTATTTGGTCAAGAATAGTAAGTTTGTGCTATATTTTTGTTTGCCTTTATATGGTGTTTTTTTATAGTTTGTAACTTAACTTTTGTTCTGAGAGATACAGATGACTAGGGGGGGAAGCAGTCGTATTTCCTTATTTTACTGTTTTTTTGTGGTGGTTCTTTTAAGAAATTTTTTTTAAAGTTCTCACAGGGTTAGATGTCACCAATTAAGTTGTTGGAATTTGTGATGGTAAAGAGAGTAAGAGAGAGAACAGTGTGAAGAAGGGGTGGCATTTATGAGCTGTGAGGAGAGCTGTGTGTGAGAGAGCTGAGAAATTGATGGAGAGTGCTGAATCACATGAAGTTTATTATATAAGGCAGGTTTGAAACCAGACAGGAGGAGTGTTATAAACTTAGGCAGCATATCTGAAATTACTTACTGTGATGCAGTGCAAATCTACGTGGTTGAAATAGGTGTCCTGTAGTTCTTCGTTGCACAAATAGAAAATTTCTAGAAGGATTGTGAGAGGTTTTAGGTTTCTTTGGGTATAGTTTGGCCTCCTTTATGTAATATTTTGTAGTCTCTGCTACTTTGGATTTTTACTGTTGTATGGAGTTGAAAATCAAGCATTATTTTCGTGCATTGTTCGTTCTGTGATACTTGTTCTACAATTTATCGTCTTTTTTCCTTTCACAAGGAAATGTATTTTACTTTTTTTTATTCCCATAGATGTTTCTCATGATCTGAATTTCTGACCAGATTGTCTTCTGTTGGAAGTTGGTACATGGGTTGTTCTGCTGGTAATACGGTTAGGAAAAAGAGAAAGAAAAAAGACTTCAAAAAATATATTCTGAATATATGTTACAGTAACAGAAGTGAAGGTGAAAGGTTAGGAAGATGGTATATTTTGCCATTTACCAGATCAGTAGTCTCTCCATTCGGATGACATACTACTTCCTTTCAAAGAAGTAATACATGTACAGATAGTTGTGAAAGAACTGGGTTGCATTATGTTGCATATTTCTAAATAGACCACTTTTTGTAGCAATGCCTTTGGGCACCCCACAGATCAACATAAACATCCTGCAAAATTACTGAGTTTCTGCAATTTTTCTTCTGCACAGGCATTGTGGTGCCTTGACTCTGCATTTAAAAAAAAATACTTGACTTGAAATCTTATGAATATGTCAACTTGGGTAAAAACTGAGATAACAATATAAGATTTCTTGCATTCAAGTAGTTTTCTCAGTGTTTCTTCTTCTTACATGGTTATGCTAAAATAAATCTCCCTTCTGTGCAATGTACTTCATTCTGATTTCTTTTTAAAACTCCTCTGTGTCAACATGTTGAGGGAAGTGAGGAGGACTGTGGGGGATGAACGAATGGGAAGGGCAGTTCAGGAGAGGGAGACAACAGCTAGAACTGCAGTTTGTAGATTTTAATGCTACTGAGAAAAATAAAGACATCAAGTGTTAAGTGTCTGCCATGGTTATCAGTTTTGACATATTCTGAGGAGGCAGGATTAGAAGCTCAGCAAGGAGCAAGATATTCCTGATTTTATCCAAACATGATGGCAGATATCTGGCACCTGGAAAAAGTTATTTTAATCATCTCATGTGGTTATATTTTAATGCAGTTGATCATACTGAACTCGTTTATATAACGTTTGGGTAGGGCTGTCACGCACTGAACTTCCAGTGCATGAGTGAATTGAGTGTGTGTAAGCGTAAAACATCTGGATCTGTTGAATTGACGTGGCTGCCCAGGTCAGGGAACACCTAGAAACCTTCCTGTGCAGACTTGGGCCTGCAAGAGGTTTCAGCGCTCCCTGGAGTGAATCCTGGGAGGGTGTTACAGAAGAACCTCGTTGTCCAGTACTTCGATTAGATCTCCTCTGCTTTGGTGTGTTGCTGCTACTACAGCCCTTATGTGGTTTTATAATCTTGATTAAGGTTTGTTTATGGCCTTTTGTAGGTAGGTGAGTGTTCATAGGAGAACTTGTGTGCTTGTAGTTGTTGCAACACAGAGTTTCAATTAAAACAAACCTTTTGTTAATGGTGTATTAGGCAGCAGCAAGCTCCCATATGCTGATTCTTCGCAGTGTTTCTGTGAGCTGGCAATTATTGACATCTGTGTGGTTGGGGGCTAAATATGTAGCTTTCTAGACCAGATTTTAGTTAAATCCAGGGGATTGTGGACAAATTGTGAGGAGCCTGAGGACAGCACTGCCATTGTACCTTAGTCTGTGTTCATCAAAGATGAGTATCTTGTGTGTTTTCAAGGATTTTTATAAAATCCGTGTGTCATCAGAGTAACAGAGGGTACACATATACTTTAACATTTCTATCTTTATATGAGTTGGAGGATTGCCGGGGCACAGTATATACTAATGCACCTAAGTGAACCTTAGAGTGGTGGAAGATACTGTGAAAATGAGTTACTCCTGTGTCAAGGAAGACTATTTACTGTGGAGAAAAATGCTAGAACTTCAATAGAAGATGCCTTAAAAAGGAAAGAAACCTCAATTTATTCAGTTATGCTCCACTGCAGTATCTCTTCATAGAGAAGTGCTTGGAGTGGATCAGTCAGAAAACTTGAATGTTCCTTGGAATGTTTGAGGAACACTTCATTAGTTATATCCTCAAACGTGAATTCAGAGAGAGACTTCTAGTTGGCTGTTGACTTTGACTGGGAAGTTGCGTGGAATAGAAGTGAATCTGACAGGCATTCTTTATTGTTGTTATGAAAATGGTTCTAATCACCTTTCTGTTTAATAAATATTTAATTTATGTGGTCAGGATGAAAGCATCAAAGGAGTTTAGTAAAATCCAAGGAGGATTTTCAAAGACCTAGTTCTGTGTTCTCAGTGGATTTTAAGAATATCTGAGTGCAGGTACAGACCAAACCAAATTTACATTTGCAAAGCTGTATTGTCGAAAACTGAATGGTCTATTTAAAAAAAAGAAATTGATGGAGGGGAAGTATATCTCAGAGTTGTTGTGCAGCAAGGTAAGATATTGGTCTAGTTCTGG